GCGTGGTGGCGTCCGAGTCGGATGACTCGTGGGCACGACCACATGTTGACGACCAGCTTCAACCAACAATGAGGGGCTCCGTGGCGCTGAAACTTGCGTCGCAACTCGAGTAACGGAATCGATTCATAGTACTTGACCCAGCCCACTGTGATTAGCACGCCATACTTGTGAGACGCTTGGTTGCTCTCTGATCGAGCCGCCTGCAACCATGCACAGTCAGTGGCCGATCTCCCGCGGCTGGCACCCCAGTATCTTCTGTCGAGGGCATCGTGCATGTGCGCAACCATGGGCTTGCGTGCTCTCTGCCACATACGGTAGATGGCAGCATGCAATATTATCAGACGATTGCCTCCAGACGGCTTTGCCAGCATCGGCATCTGGATCCAGCACAGCTGCTTGGGCAACATGCCTATGGCTTCGGACGCCGAGAGCAGCAGAGCCAAAGTGTGGAGGCCGTCGTCGTCAAGGAGGAGGAAGTGCCTCGGGTGAAAGTTATCATAGCTAGTGGCCGCCCCAGCTGGAAATGTCAGGGCAGCACGACGCAGGTCGGCTGGCTCCAGGAGCGGGCACATCGACCGATCTGGTACCCAAGGTGGGGGAGCAACGTCGGAAGCATGCCACAGACGACGATGCAATTCCACGTCCTGCGCAACAATAATAACAAGGTCACCTGACTGAATACCAGCTGCCACAGCTGGCGTCGGGATGGCCCTGACCTTGGTAAGTCGATGCAGAGGGCGGGCGCCGCCGCAGGATGCTGCACTGCACCAGTCGGCCCACGCTGCATTGGAGTCTTTAGTCTGACCTTTGACTGCCAGGGTGACATCATCAGCAATATCTTCGACGAACGATTGAATCTGATCCATGTCCATGGGGATAGCATTGATGAGGTTTCTCGCCTGCACAACCGTGGCGTCTAGGCGAGCGTTGAGGCCTTGACCTGGGTACGGTGACGTCACAAACAGGGCGATCTCCTCAGAGCATTGCACCATGGAATCATCTTTCGTATATAGCGCTTGGATCGTGGTGACCATGTTCTGCAGCCACTGCCAGCCTTGTCCAATACTCTGCAAATCATTCGGATCCTTAGTCGGGTATGTCACATTGATCCATCGAGGCTCGAGATTTCTGGCAAATGCACTGGGCTCACGAAGCTCCACTCCAACATTCTGCGCAATGTACTCAGCGAAGGAAACAGCAAATCGCCCGTGCACGCGTGTGAGGAGTGCCCAGACCACCGCCACGTCGCTGCTGGGGTCAGCCGCCAGCTCGACGGTGCGCTCAGCAAGGGCTCGATGCAGCGTCCAGTCGGTGGGCCTCGTGCGCGGCCCTGGCGGCGGGGTGGCAGGCAGCTTGGAGGAGACAGAATGCACATAGTGCTGCACGTCCACCCCGTTGTCGATCAGCTGCAACTGCACAGGACGATGAGCCTTTTTGTGCCAGGTCATGACCGAGTTGACTCCCCGATAACCACGAACAACAGCATCATTGAGGCAGAAAAAGTCGATAGTGCTGGCGCCCATGCCTCCTCGGAACGTCGCCTGAGCAGGGAAGGCCAGCACCATGTCCACCTGCTGCGGGAAAAGGCTTTGCTCCAGATCTGTCGGTGCCATGTTCCAATCACCACCCATGATGGCAGGCCCAGAACATGTCGAGAGCAAGCGACCTGCAGCAGCTAATATCTCAGCGTTTATGCCAACAGCCCCAAGGGAATCTTGCATATACACATTGAAGATCGTGATGGGGGGCCAACCGCTGATGTCAACAATAACCTGCTGAAGGCGGTGGTCCCACGCCAGCTGCCCTTGAGGTGGATGCCGAAGGCCCAGTGCATCCCGAACGAACACTGCAACTCCACCTGAGGGAACGGTACCTGACGTACGACGGGCAGGTATGGCAGAGCATTTCCATTGACGGTTCTGAGCCCAGGAGTAGAGATCATCCAAGCTGTCCTCGATGTATCCTATCTCCTGGCATAGCAGTATCGTAGCTTTCGTCTTGGTCAATCGTGTCTTCAACGTGTCGCGGCCTCCAGAAGCATTGAAGGTTTCAACAAAGAATGTGCCTTGAACATCAGGCTGCGCAGGTCGCCTAACAGCTCCATCACAAAGCCGCAGACCTGACATGAGAGGTAGGTCAGGAACGTTTCCTTCGCTTGGCCATGTCGCCAAGCGTTTTGGCGAAAGCCTCTGCACCTGACTTGGCCGCCTCGAAGAGCTGCTCTCTCTCAGACTCCTCCAGCTCGTCCAGGGAGCGCTTGAGATCGCCGCCGCCGTCGCCGCCAGCATCACCAGGAACATCATCAGGTGCCTGGGGCATGGAGGCGTCCTTGGGGGCGGGCATCTTACCTGCGAGGTGCTCTCGGAGCTTGGCCCAGGCGGTGGACCCAAGCAGCGTGCGCACTTCCTCAGCGTCGACATCGTCTGGCTTGACGTCGAGCGGGTTGGACTTTGACTTTTCCGTAGCCGTGCCACCAAGCTGCTGTGCTGCCTGGCTGACCTCCGCGCGCAGCACAGTGACCTCGATCTTCTTGGCCTCCAGCGTGGCGCGCTTATTCTTGAGGGATTCTTGCAACTCGTCGAGCTGCTTCTGCTTCTCAGTGATGTCCGCTTCCAGCTTGGTGACTGCAGACGTGGCCTTCTGCAGATCAGACGTGGCCCTGCGGTGCACCACAGCGGGGGTGCGCAGAGCCTTCTGCTGGTCACGAACTCCTTCAATCTTCCGCTGAATGCTCGAGCGGAGCTCATCGTTGTCCGAGCCGTGGGGGACCAATTTGAGACTGGCCTCGAAGCATGCCAGCTGGTTCGCAAGCTTGCGCTTCTTGACCTCGCCGGTGTCATCGTCCGCGATGGTGTTATCCTTCTTGGGGTCAGCACTGGCGTGCCAAGGTGGAGGCTTGGCGCTGGCCTCGCCCTCCTTGTCAGCAGGCTGGGACGTCTGCCCTCGCAAGAGCTTCTCAATCTCCGCCAACCGCTTGCCGAGCTCGGACGGCACAGTCGACGATGGGGCCCGCTGACTGGGGCCCGTACTCTTGCCCTTGCCGCCGCGGCCTCCGCCGCCAGCAGCGTGCTCCTTCTCCCAGCGTTGGTGCTGCTCCACTGCCGTCTTGCGGATGCGCAGCGGGGCCTCCCGCCCACAGGCGCAGCGCACGCGGCAGGCCCAGTTGGAGGGGGCCATGCCGCAGGCCCCGCAGGCCCACGTCGGCCTCCTGGGGCCGCGCAGGACATCGGGCAGGTCAGGCGGCGGCGGTGCCATCGGCCGCCGCACTGGGAGGGAGCCAAAACTGTCGGGATGATCGTAGATGGTGGCCCGCAAGCACGAGCCGCACTGAAGATACGTGCTTGCAAGCACAGGGATCTCGCCTGTGCCAGTACGGCTGGAGGAGGAGGAGGAGGAGGAGGAGGAGGAGGAGGAGGAGGAGGAGGAGGTCTCCCCCCCGAGCAGCTGGAGCTCTCCAGGTCGGCCGCCCACCCACGGCCCGCGGCGCCCGCCGCCGCCCCGGAGCGGCTCCCCAAGGAAGGCGCCCGCTCGGGCCCCCTGGGTGAGCCGCGCGGGCGGAGAGCCCCGAGGGCCCCCCTGCTCAGGGGCCTCCCAGATGGGGCCCGAGTATACACCCTGCGAAATGCTTTAGAAATCATGGGTTAAGAAATTCATGGTCTCAGAACTTGAATGAAAAACCAAAGATTCTATTCAAATCTTAGGATTTACACTGAAACATTAAGAATAATCGAGACTCTGGCCGAAAACTTAAGTTTTCTTAAGCATCGCATAAGGTGTATAGATGGGGTCGGAGGATCGCGCCGCATCGGCGATGCATCGGCGATACATCGGCGGTGCATCGGCGATGCATCGGCGATACATCGGCGGTGCATCGGCGACGCCGGCGTGGAGAAAAAAAAAAATCGGGCTCCACATCAAGCCGCATCGCCGACGTATCGGCGATGCGGAGCCATCCCCCGACCACATCTACTCGGACCCCATCTAGGAGGCCTACATAATGTCGGGGAGCCCCTCCGGGGAGCCCCGGATCGGCTGGCGAGGCGAGGCGGGGGCGCGGAGCGACCCGTGGGGGACGGGCCGACCGGCGGCCAGCTCGGAAGGGCCGATGCTCCCGTCGCCATCCATCCTGCAGTGGCTCAGATTTTCTGTGATGCCGTCGGTGCGAGACGCCGTTCTGACTTCGCACTGGGCCCAGGACGGCTGGGAGCCTCAAGACGGTGCGGCGACAGACCGTGCGGTGACCTCGAAACCCCAGGATACCTCACCTTCTGCGGCAGCTCATGAGAACCCTCCGCACCATCTTGTTGGCTCTTGCGAATCGGCACTACATCGACGCTAAGCGAAGCACATCGACGCTCACCGACGCTCATCGACGCTGAAGCGGCGTGTCCCCATCGACTGCCAGACGCCAGAGCGTGCTAGTACACTCTAAAAACACGTTCACGAGTGCACGCAAGGCTCCTGTGCTTTGCTTCCGACCTCACCGCACGGTCCGTCTCACCGCGCGGCTTCGGAACCTCGACTGCCCCCAGCCGCCCGGGGCGTGCTCGGAGCACGGCCCAGGTCCCCAGAGCCCTGTGGCCACAGGCCCCCGCATCCCCGCCCACTCCCCGCACGGCAAGGTCTCCGCACCGCCAGGGCGGCCAGACATGTTCTAAGAACATGTCGTGCAGACCACAATCGGTTCGTAGAACATTTATTGGCGGGCCTATAGGCAAGCCGGGACGCTCCGCCACTGCTTGAAAGGGAAGTGCACGTCGGCACTGGCACACCCAGAGCCCAGACCCTGGACGCCATGATCTCTTTGTCACGGCAGCGGCCCCCTGGATGTCTCGACCCACTCCCCGGGGCGAATTCTTCATCTTGGCTCGTCTTCTGGCGGTCCGGGGGCCCGACGGGGCTCAACAGAGGCTGGAAATAGGGAAAACCCTCCTGTCTGGAGTCTCACGACGCGAGGGCTTCTGGGTACCTTACTCCTCTGAGGGTGCCAGGATCTTATTTTTTCACTCTGGCATGGCGAAGAAGCTGGTCAGCACGTGGGGAGCACTGGCGCTCTCGGCGCACGAGGTGCCACCCCCTCGCACAGACCCCGCTGGGACGCGCGAGCTGCACGCGATCCAGGGCCCCAGGCCCTCTCAGCTTCGAACCGGTGAAGCGAGGCTGGACTCTCGGGGTGCAGAACACAGCCGAGAACGAAGAGGGAGGGGCGAGCTCAGACCGCGAGAAACTGCTTTCCCCCCCCCCCTCGCTCGCCCATGCTGCTGTCTTGGGGCCTGGTGAGGGGTGCCAGTGCCTCCCCCCTCTCCCCCCTGTAGGTGCGGGGTGGTGCCGCGGTGCCGTCGTCGTCGCTGTCGTCGCTGCCGTCGTCCCCCCCCACCTCATCAGGGGGTGGGAGGGGGCCTGGTCACGGGTCGAGGGTTCACAGGGACCTCCACCCCCAAAGACGGGATGGGTCCCAGGGTTCACAGGCCCCCCCCCCAGATGGGATGGGGGGGAGACGACGACGACGACGACGACGACGACGACGACGACGACGACGACGACGACGACGACGACGACGACGACGACTACGACGACGACGACGACGAGGGCAGACGACGACGACGACGACGACGAGGGCAGACGACGACGACGACGACGACGACGACGACGACGACGGAACACCACACGGAGAGGGGGGGGCACCGGCACCCACCACCAAGCGACGCCCACAGCGCCACGACCACAAGGGGGGAGGGGGCGGAGGGCGATCCCGTTCGCGAGCCTCACGGGCGTGCGTACCCATCCAGAGGAGGGGTGGGAGAGGGGGGGGCGGCGGTCCCACGGGCACCAGGAGAGGGGCCGCAGGCCTGGACCAGGTGCCTGGCGCGGCAGCGGAAGGCAACCCCAGAGGAGTGCCCGAGCGTACACCCTGCGAAATGCTTAAGAAATCATGGGTTAAGAAATTCATGGTCTCAGAACTCGAATGAAAACCCAACGTTTCCATTAAAATCTTAAGATTTACATTGAAACGTTAAGAATTATCGAGACTCTGCCCGAAAACTTGAGTTTTCTTAAGCATCGCCTAAGGTGTAGTCCCAGACATGCTCGCGCCTCGACAAAACCACGACCGACCGCCTTTGGGGCCGCTCGCGGCCTCTGGGGGCCCTCGCCAGGCCCAAAGTAGAGGGCAGAAAATCCACCCCGATAATAACCACCCCGACACGCGAAGCCGTTTAGTTAACGCACCCCAAGAAGGAATCAAACAGGGCAGGGCTGTTTAGTAAACGCCCAAGGCCATTTAGTAAACGCCAATTGTCCGGTCCGGGTGGTTCTTCTTCCCTTGACAAAGGGTGGTCAGGCAACGACGCAGGACGGAACGTCGGCCCCGAGGAGCAGGTCGGGACCCCGGGGATCGCGCATTCCAGAAATCAAAGCATCGCACGTCTCTCGCCATCGCTCGGGCGTGCAGCTGCCCCGTGCCTTGTTTTTGTCCGGCTTCGTGCGTGTATTGTTCCGCAAGCCGACCCATGCATTATGTTGCTCCCATCTTACTTAAAGACCACATCCCAGAAGTAAGTTGGAGGAACCCGAAAAGCGTCGAAACAGTGTCGAACGAATTATAATCGCCCCCCAGGCCCGACACGTGAAAACCCTCAAGTTCCGGTGCTTCCTTGGTGCTCGAAACTCTTTCTGGTGGTCAAGGCTACAGTAGGTTGGGATGTCATAACCCAAGAGGCTCTTCGCTGGTCCTCGCCGAGATGAAAATGCAGACGCCCGAGCGATGCCAAGGCCTGGGTGCCTCCCGGGAGCCTCTCCGCGAGACCGTGGCCCGGTCCCCACTGTGGCGGCGTGGCCGGCTGGCTTCTGGCACCGCGCAAGTCGCTCCGCCTCGGGCGGCCTCCGCTACCCCGTGTGGCACAATCATCGGGAGGGGGGGAGGGCGACGAACCTGCCGACGGAGCGTCCCCATCCTCCCCCCCACCGCCCCTCAACGCGCGTCCAAGATTCTCACACCCTCCCACCTGGCCCAGAAACTCGAGCTTCAAAACCACCATCCCCACCCAATCCACCACTGACGGCACACGCCCATCCCCCCCCCTCGAACCCAAGGGGGGGGCGATCATCATGCCATCCAGAGTACTCGTCTGTGGACATCGCTGCAGGTCAGGAGAGCTCAGAATCGAATCGGTAAGTCGGATCGGCGCTCGAAATGAGTCGAATCGGCGGAAATCGGCAGGCTAGCAGGCCTCCGTTGAGAAATCGGAATCCAAATCGAAATCCGAGGTCGAGTTGAATCGGAATCGGAAGCCATCGAAATCGAATCGACTCGATTCGGGAGCATCGAAACGAGCCCTGCAAGGTTCGCCTGGTTCAGGCCGCTGGTGTTAGGTCGGGCATGCCCTCCTACAAGCGGATCTTGGTGGAAGAATGCGACATATTAAAATCCAAATTATCCTGGCGAAAGACCCAACCATACGCAATTGTGAATAGAGCGTTGTGGGTATGTACCGCTTTCGGTGGAAATCCCTACGGGGCCACGAGCCGTGTGAAGGATGTGCCGAAATGGTGTGGCGGTGCCATGCGGACCCTGCCACTGGGGCCTTCGGTGGAGCTTCCTATGGGGCCACGAAGAATGTGAGGGGTGTGCAGGAATGGGGCGGCGTTGCCATGCGGACCCTGCCACTGGGGCCTTCGGCGGAGCTCCCTATGGGGCCACGGGGCGGCGGTGCCATGCGGAACCTGCCACCGGGGGCTTCGGTGGAGCTCCCTATGAGGCCTGGGAGGCAGGGGGAGGAAGGAGGCGGGAGGAGAACGTGGGGCGCTGCCTCTTCGAAACGAGGACCCAACACCACGGGATGGTCGGGAAAATTGAAAGGATCAGCGATCCACGGATCTGGCGCGCGGTCGCCAAATCCATGGATCGGGGGAGGCGCCCTCCCCAACATGCGGCCGCCTCGTCCGGCGGCGGAAGTCCGCGATGTCCCATGGAAACGGGACCCGTCGCGAATCCACGCCCCCTTGATCCATTCTTGCGATCGCCCGATTCAAGACCAGGAGGCCCCCCCATCGGCCCAAGCACACAGAACGTCCGAGGGCATGCCCTCCCCAGGAGGCAAAACAGCATCCCACGAGCACGAAGACCACCAGCTAGGGCCTCCTCCCCGAGTCGATCTCCCGATCTCATGCCTCGGTCTCCGACTCGCATGGCTCCCGCGGCGGGATATGCCGACGGCAGTCGCCCCGCCGAGCGTGCCGCGAGAGCCGGGCCAACGACACAGCACCGCATCCGCCTCTAGATGTGCTTCTTCCCCCTCTTCACGCGCGCGGCCACTCTCCGAATCTCGCTCGTGGGGTCCCGGATGGGGTCCCCGGGCTTGCTCTCGACGATCATCTTCTTGAGGTACTCTGTCTCGTCGGGAGGGTCGTTGCCCATCACGCTGTCCCACCCGTCGCTGCTCGGAAGCGGCACGGACATCTCGTTTACCTCCGCAGAGCTCAGCAACAAGGGGTCTGCATCATAGCGCTGACCCTTCTTTGGCTTCTCGCTACGGTCGCACCGCTTGCAAATGTCCTGCCTAAGCTCATGAAGTCCATGGCCCCACGGAGTGCACACCATCATCAACTTCCGCTCGATCCTTTTGTGGCCTTCAAGGTCGGATCGTACCAAGGATGCCATCTTGATTAATTCTTTCGGAGTGACCAGATCACACTTGGTGAGGACGATCTGCTTCATGGGACCTTTGTTGCCCAACTCTCCGAGCCAGTCGTGGTCCGCGCGCTTGAACCCATGCCGTGCGTCGATTAGCACGTAGAGCGCCTTCAGGGAAGTTCGTTGCATCACAAACTCGATAGCGGCAGGCCCGAACAACACTGCACGATCAGCGTAACCATAACCTGGCAAATCAATGAGGTCAAGCCGCATTTTTTCATTGCGGTACCACACTGCTCTCTTGGTCTCCCCGGGTATCGAGGAGATCTTGGCTACAGAGCCGAACATGGCCATCTTGTTCAAGAGGGAGGACTTTCCCACGTTGGACCTGCCAGCGAACGCCACCTCTGGATACCTTGCCCTCGGCTCTGGCCACTCAGATGTTTCGGTTAGGCCGGCAGAGGCGAAACGAAAGAACTTCGAATGCTTCATATCATCAGCCTGAAGGTCCAACGCAGTGGGCTTCGGCTTCTTCTGACCAGGCCTGAGCATTATCTGAGGTGCATGACGTGCCCGTTTCATGCCGCCCTTACCGAAAAACTTGGTCTCCACCTCGTCCACGATGTCCTGGTACGGCGTAACCTCGTTCAGCCGGTCCTTCAACGGCTTCTGCCTGATGGGACTCGCGAAGACGCCCCACTTCTCCTCGACCCTCCTCTTGTCGTGAAAGCCGCGCGCCTCGTCTTTGGTCGGGCAAGTCCTCCTACAGGCGGATCCTGGAAGAAAAAGGATTAAGTAGTAAGAAAACACTCCCAAATTGTCAAAAATAGTTGAAAAACCGTCGCCTCCAGACTATCTTTCCACCATCTTCGAAGACTCCTCCTGTAGAGGGACAGGCCCGACGCACGCCTCGTCCAGGTCGCGGGGCTCCCTCAGCCAGGGCGCCACCCGCATCCGCACCAGACCCACTGCCGCGCCGGCCGCCGCCGCGCCCCGGGCGCAGGCGGCGAGCGCGCCGCAGAGCGCCCCGTGGGCCCGCGCGCCCGCCGCGCCGCCCGCCGCGCCCGGGGCCCCGCGCGCGCCGCGAGCACCGCGCGCGGGCGCGGGCGCCGACGGGGCGCCCCGCGCGCGCACGGCGGCGCCCGCCCGCGGGCGGCGGGCGCCCACGCCCGCGCCGCGCCGCGCGCGGGCAGCGCGGCGCCGGCGGCCGAGGTGCAGAGCGCGGCCAGCGCGGGGAGCCGCAGGGCTGCCGCGGCCGGCGGGCGCGCGGCCTCGCCGCCGGCGCGCGGGGCGCCGCGCCCGGGCTGCCGGAGGCAGCGGCCGCGCACGGCGCCGGGCGGTCGAGCGACGCCGTGGGCCATCGCTGCCGCGGGCGTGGGCCCAGGCCTCCGCCTGGGCCAGGTGTGCCACGCAGGGGGTGGTTCGGCGATGCCCTGCCCCCTGCCCGCCCGTCGGAGCTCGGCCACCTCGGCGCAGCTGCGGGGCCGAGGCGCGCAGCTCTCGCGGGCTCGTTCTTCTGCACAGGGGGCTTGACGTCTGGGCTCCTCGGTGGCTGGTCGGGGTTATTTGCCAAGCTGTGCTTGGATACGCGTCGCGCACTTGAGCGCAACAGAGAATGGTTGCGTGCTTTGCCTTGTTTGGCACAACTTCGTGGTTTGCCTTCTTTGGTATAACTTTGTCGTGGTTTGCATTGGCTTTCGCTGCTTCGCACGCGTGTGTGTATATATAGATAAAACTGTTGAACTACACATTTGTGTAGTTATACGTTCAACGTTTGCACATACATCAGCCGATCAGGCGTGCGAGTTTCAAAGAGCCTGAGCTTCAGCTCTGCTGGAGGGGGGCCGGGGGTGCTTTGCCGGGGACGGGTGGATGGGCCTGCTCCGCCTGTGCTCCGCTTTCGGGGCAGGGCTGGGACACGTGAAAATACGGCACGTTCCCACCTCGGGGGCCAGAGAGCCCAAGATGGCCACCAGATATTTCCCAGACGACTGAAGATGCACCCAAGATGTCCCAGGAAGCCCTCCAACAAAAGACCCGACGAGGTCCACGTCATTGATGTTGTACATGCTTTTGAAGGATTTGGGCGCTTCATTCTTTTCGGCTTTCCGACGGCCCCAGAGGCCCCCAAGATCGCCCCACAGGCCTCCAAGAGGGTCCCAAGACCCCCAAGACGGCCAAGATAGCCGCCAAGACGGCCCTGAAGCGCCCACAGATTGCTCCCAGACGGCACAGCGAAGCGCACTAGACGGCTTCCGACGGGCCAGGAACGCCCTAAGACAGCTAGAAAGACTTCCAAAAAGCCCCCAAGAGGCTCAACGACCCCCTCAAGAGGCCTCCTCCTACGACGGCCCCAAGAGAGCCCCAAGACGGCCCCATAGATCTATATGTCGGTCGTTTATCCAGCGCGAACCTTGGCAACACAGCCATGTTCACACTTGCGCTTCGTTTGCGGGATGGGTGGCCATATGCGGATCAATACATCATGATCGTGGCTCAGTGGATGTACCGGTCGTGGAGATACATGGACCGTTGAGGTGCTACTTACATGATGTTTTGGACATGGGTTATTGGCGCCTGTAGGCAACTATATATATATATGTGACATGCGAACATGGATGCACACCTACACCTAGGACCTGTGAACAACACGCATCTACACATGTGTACACATCTCTTCTTCTATGAAAACACCCGTGGGCGTCATAGTGTTCAGGCTGCCCCGGCGCGGCCGGAAGTGGGTTCCAAAACGGCCAACGTGGCCTTCAAGACGCGTCCGGATCCTCCACGGTGGCCCGAGACTGCCAATCAGGCCCAGAGTGGCCATCGTGATAACGAGCCCCAGAAGCCGAAGCTGGAGCAAAACTGACTACTTACCAGACCACCCCAACCCAACCCGAAGGCCCGAATTTCGGGTTGGGGGGGGTAAGGGTTCCATACGTGTTTTTTCGACGTTCCCGGACCCCCCCCCACTAGAAATCGAGGGTAAATCTGAGCCTTCGGGTTGGGTTGGGGTGGTTTGGTGGGTGGTGAAAAACTCCTGGACTCAACAGCTCACATCCGCGGACATCCGGGCCCCTGGTCAGGGCCTGCACGCGCCTGCTCGCTCGCGGTGCCGGCGGCGGGCCCAGTGCCGGAGCGCGCGGCGCAGCGGGCAACGGGAGCACGGCACCCTGGCACGAGGCGGGGACCTCTCTCTCCTGCGGGCAAGAGTTGTATCCATATCCGCTGCGTCTTGAACCTTTCTGGGAAGGGGCGCCACAAGGCCGAGGCGCAGTGGACATGGATGAAAACCGATCCTCCGGGGGCAGATTCTCATCCATGTCCATTGCGCCCTCGGGCGTCTGGGGAGGGGAGCCCAGAACCACGCAGTGGGTAGTCGTCATGGATACCTGGAGGCCCCCTCCCCATCGCGCGTCCGCCCGAACACCTTGCGCGGCGGAAACCGCGGCGATGACGACGTCCACCCAGCGCCCCCGGTCACCTCCTCAACTGCCTCCGCCTTCTCCACCGCCGCCTCCTCCTCCTCCCCTCCGCCTCACCTGCGTGGCCCGGCCGCTGGCGTCGCCGCCTGGCCTGGTCGCCCGTCTCCGCCTCGCCTCCTCCTCCTCCTCCTCCTCCTTCTCCTCCTCATCTTCCTCCTTCTCTTATGTTTTGTCCTCGCCCTCCGCCTCCTCCTTGGCCTCCTCTTCCTCGTCCTCCTCCTCCTCCTTTTCCTCCTCCTCTTCCCCCTCCTCCTCGTCGTCGGCCTCCTTCACCTCCTAGTCGCCGCTGTCGCTGTCCTGTGCTGGTGGCCCGTTTGCAACCTTGTCGTCGTCGCCAATGCATTGGCTTTTGTCAGTCACCCGCCGCCTCCTCTACCTCCGCCTCGGCTCTCCTCCTCCTCCTCCTCCTCCTCCTCCTCCTCCTCCTCCTCGTCCTCCTCCTCCTCCTCCTCCTCGTCCCCCTCCTCCTCCTCCCCCTCCGCCTCAATGTTTTCCACCCTCAAGCTGGGCACCTTCGCCGCGGGCTTCGCCTGGATGTTGCCAGGGAAAGCGAATCCTGGCGGATATAGGCACTCGCAGTGCGCCAGGCGAAGCCTGCACGACAATGCTGACCTGCTGTCAGAAGCCTGCCGTCAGCACGGGAGCTCGCGATTCGCCGAATGCCATGACTGCCAACATGCGGACGGGCGCCTGTGCGCTGTCGCCGAGGCGGCTCCCCAGCTCAAGCACGCGCGGGGAGATGTTGAACCCTGCGTAGCGGCGCCGCTTGGCCCTCTCATCCTTCGCCGCTGCGGCTCCGTGTCAGTTGAACACTGGTCGGATCTAGGGCAATTCATCGCCATCATAGTTCAACATCGTATTCTGCCATCGTCGTTGGGCACGACGTCCAGCACATCCCAAGCCTCGTCGTCCACCGTCGCGTCCGCCAGGGTCAGCAATCGTAAGTTGCCCAGCCGTTGCTCACGGAGCGCGCGAGGGTCGATGTGCGCCTTGACGAAGCGCCGCAAGATGTCACAGATCTCGCTGCGTCCCCCGACGACCTTGCCGCCGATCTTGCATCTTTCTGCGTGCGCAGGACCCTCAACACCATCCAGCTTCGTCCCGCAAGCACCCAGATTACTGGAGTGATGGCAATGCGTCTCCGCATGCGCTGGATAGTCTATCTGATTGCAACCGTGCACAATAGGCGCCTGCGCAGAGCCATACGCCAGGCTCCGTCCGCGATGACCTGGTTGCCAGGCTGGGGCACGCACGAGTAGCTGCCTGCTCCGGCGCCGCCTGCTTGCCGCAGCCACGCACGGTAGTGCTCCTGGACGCCATCGAGGGTGGCCTCGCGCAGTCGGAAGGCCACCGCGTTCATGATCGTCCTCTGCATGCGCTTTTTGGGTTCGACGATGTGGTCCAAGTTCGCGTCGCCGACCATCGCGGTTCCCGGGCCGTCAGGTCTGGTCTCGCCTGCTCCTGCTCCTGCTACTGTTCCTCAACCTCTTCCAGTTCCCTTTTCTCTGCAAACTTCATCTTGTCGCTCCTGCTCCTTCTCTTCCTCCTCGCTCTCCTCTTGCGCATCCCCCCCTCTCCCTCTGCGCCACCATCCTCCTGGACCAACCCTACCCCCCAAACAGGAATCCGAACCATCGACAAGCCAAACCGAGTGAGAATCCTCCAAGAGGCCACCACCAAACTAGGCCACCAAACTTCGCGCTCCGCACCCATTTTCGAGTTCCCGCTGAGAGGAAACGAGATGGCCTAAACAGCTCAGGGAGGCAGATATCGAGCCTGAATCGTCGATACATCGCTGATGCACCGGCGACGAGCTTCCGATGGCGAAACCACACGCTCCTGGGCGGCGTGGGCTCTTGCCCCGTTGATCAATTGTCGATTGGGGTCGATGCGTCCCCCCTGAGCCTATCCCCCCCCGACCCCATCCCCCCTGCCAATGCCCTTGAACCGCGCCACCGCCCCAGAGGGGAAATGACACCCTTGCGGCAGAAGACCCCGTCCAGCTCCACGCAGTTACGATGGGGGCCACGATGGGGGGTCACGATAGGGAGCCGAGATGTGGGGGTCGGGATAGGGATAGGGGTAGATAGGTAAGGGAGAACGATTTCTGTGGACGCTCGATTGGGAAACAACCCGCGACACGTTGGAACCGCCCCCCCAAAAAAAACATCGGCGCGCCCAGAAAACCGAACCCCCCTCCACCAGACACCGGACCCCCTCCTTTTCCAAATGGGGGGGGTCTAACATGATGGGTCCAAACGACGAAGACGTCGACGACGGACGACGGACGCCAGACGACGGATGACGAACAACGAACGACGCACAGTGATGACTGTGACGAAGCAGCCGACGGAAGACGGACGACGATGATAACGACGCGAGACGACGATGACAACCGATGGACGACGACAACGGCCATGGACGACGGCGGGCACCGCCGACGATTAAGTACGTAAGATGACGACGACCACGACAAAAACAACGGAGAACGGACGACGGACAACGAAGGACAGAGACCGACGACTACAGTGACACGGACGACGGAGGACGGACGACGGACAACTGACGACGATGACAACGATAGAAGACGACGACGACCAGTCGAAGACGACGACGACGGCCAGGGACGACGACGACGACCGACGACTACGCTGATGACCAGCTCGATCAAGCTCCAGAAGAATCCTACTAAGGCTCGGTCAACTCTCGACAGATTACCACTACCGCTCGACCCAGCTCCTATGGGATCCTGCTCTGGGTGGGTTCATCTGTCATGGAAGACTGCTAGGGCTCGATCCAAATTCAGTGAACATCCAGTTGAGCTCGATCCAACTCCCATGGAATCCCATTAGGGCTTGGTCCAGCTCCAATTGAATCCTACTAGTTTTCGTTCTCTACTCTTATAATAAAGCCTACGAGGGCTCGATCCAGCCTTACAACAGAATCCTACTAGGGATGGCTCCAGCTCTAATAGAAACCTATCATGGCTGGATCCAGCTATGACAGATTTCCACTGTAAGGCTCGATCCAACCCTGGAGGGGATTCTTCTGGGGCTGATAAAAACACTACCAGGACTCGATGCAGCGAAAATCGAATTCTACGAGGACTCGGTCCATCTCTCATGGAATCCTATCACGGCTGGATCCAGGATTCGATCCAACTCCAATAGAATATTACTGGGACTCGATCCAGCCGTTCTAGAATCAGGCTCGGGCTCGGATCACCTCGAATCGAATCCTTCTAGGAGCCGATCCAGCTCTACAAATTCTAATAGGGCTGCATCCAGCCCTGATGGAACCCTATTAGGGCTCAATCCAGCTCTTATCAAATCCCATTGGGGCTGGATCCAGCTCTAATTGGATCCTAGTGGGGCTCGACCATCATCTTCGTCGTCGCCGTTGTTGTCGTTGACGTCGTCGTCTCTGCCCGACGGAACTGGCGCTGGCGCCCGTCGTCGTCGCTTGCCACTGGCGAGGGGCAAAGGGGGCCGGTTCGAAACCCCTCCCCTTGCAACTCAAGTCCCCCTCCTCTAGCTCAACCCCCCGTGAGGCCCCCCCGCTCCCGGTTCGACTCACCCCTTCCCGGCGTCCACATAATGCAATCTGTCATAATTAAAAAGATGCATCACCGTGACGAACATTTCTCTCAATCGGCATTCGCCAACAGCGCGGAAAGGTTCGGAGCATAAGTACTCCAACTACTCCGCGCGAGGGCGCATCCCGCTCGATAACTCATAGGTTTTGGAGCGGAGCAGTTTCCAATCCGGTTTTGCGGTAACAGGGTCATAAGCATTAAGCGGGTCGTGACACAGTCATCATGTCATATTAGGAATACTTAGAGGGATTCAAGGTATAATCATTATGGCGAATTGAAGCAACTTTGGCCCGGCTGTGCACAGGGACAGGAATCTAGGAGTAAGGATAGGGATCGAGAGATGGAATCTGGGTAAGCATGGGTAGGGATAGTGGGGTAGAGGGTAGGGTCTTGAGACAACGGGAGACAACGGGTTTCTTAAATACACAACGCGCTGTATCAATGTACTTGTATATCCGCCACCGTGCCTCCGGCACGTTGAGGCGTGGAAGAATGCCAAGGGCTGTCTGGCAAGGTTTCTGTAATCTTCTAAACGGGCCCACCTCCGCGGGAAACACCCGCCCACCCCCCCGGCACCACCCCTACTCCCGGAGGGGTTCCTGGGCGGCCGTGTCGCCTCCCTGGGGCTCTCCACGGCTTCCATGACGGCCCAGGAGGCCCCCAAGACGGTCCAAGAGGGCCCCGAGTCGCCGAAGGATCGCTCGAAGACGCCCAACATGCCCTCGAGATGGCCCCAGAAGCCTCCAGGACGCCTCAATAGGCCTCCAAGAGGCCTCCAAAGACGGCCCCAAGTGGCAAACATGATTGATTTGTTCTAGGTGTGTAAAGATTTTGGCTTTCTAGCCTTTTCGGCTTTCCGACGATTCAAGACAGCCCAAGAGGCTCCCCAGACCATCCCCAAACGGCCCAAGATGTCTCCAAGAGGGTCCCAAGACGGCCTAAGAGCGCCCCAAGGCGGCCCGAGAGGCGCCCGAGACGCCCCAAGAGAGCCCCAAGACGGCCCCGAAGGGGCTCACGAGAGTGAACACTACGTAACCGAAAATCCAAGCCTTCCGCCCGAAGAAGCCCCCATGAGGCCCCAAGAGGCTCCCAAGAGGCCCCGAGAGGCCCCCAAGAGGCCCCCAAAGGCCCCCAAGAGGCCCAACCGATACCTCAAGCGACCCCAAAACGGCCCCCAAGAGGCCCCAAAGCTGCTTCCAAGAAACCTCCTAGAGGCCACTCACGAGATCCCAACGAACATCCAATAAGCTTCACACCCACAACTCAGGCACAGTGGCGGGACTTGCCGTATGCAAATGGCTATATATGTATACACAGATTTACACACAATATACCTACCTACCTACCTACCGACCGACCGACCGACCTACCGACCTACCTACCTACCTACCTACCTACCTACCTACCTACCTACCTACCTACCTACCTACCTACCTACCCACCCACCCACCCACCTACCTACCTACCTACCTACCTACCTACCTACCTACCTACCTACACACACATACATACATACATACATACATACATACATACATACATACATACATACATACACACATACACACATACACATACACATACATACATACATACATACATACATACATACACACATACATACATACACACACATACATACATACATACATACATACAAACAAACAAACATACATACATACATACGTACGTACGTACGTACATACATACATACATACATACACACATATATATATGCTTGTCTACACCTGTTTTTGTGCACTCCGCCAGGGAGCTTGTCAGGCCAGGACCTCTGGGGGCTACTCAGGGGTCAACCCAGGAGTTGGGAGAGGTCCCGTCCCGTCAGCGGCATCCAAGGGCCTCCCAACCCGCCTGGCACAACCGTGGCGCTTAAGCACCCGCGCTGCATCCCAGACGAGCTGACACACTTGCACCGCCGGGAGGTTAACGTCACCAACCCCTGACCCCCCTAGCTCTCGTCCTGGCAATCACTCGCGCGGAGGCAGGCACGGCCACGCGCGAGACGGTAGCTATGCTGCCCCCTGTCTGTGGGTGGGCCAACACAGCTACGGAAGATGGATGAAACTCAACCGTTCCCCATCAACGGCGTCGCGCACGCTCAGGTGGACTCCGCATAGGCTTCCTTGGAAGGTTACTATATGCTTGTCTACACCTGTTTTTGTGCACTCCGCCAGGGAGCTTGTCAGGCCAGGACCTCTGGGGGCTACTCAGGGGTCAACCCAGGAGTTGGGAGAGGTCCCGTCCCGTCAGCGGCATCCAAGGGCCTCCCAACCCGCCTGGCACAGCCGTGGCGCTTAAGCACCCGCGCTGCATCCCAGACGAGCTGACACACTTGCACCGCCGGGAGGTTAACGTCACCAACCCCTGACCCCCCTAGCTCTCTCCACGGTCCCTACCCTGGCAATAGCCGCTCCCTCTTGCTCTTACCTATTTCCTCCACCCTGCTGTAATGAAATGAGGGAGGAAAGGTGGAGGATGGGCGGGACAGACAGACAGGCAGTACAAAGCAAGAAACAGTTCATCTCGCTTCTGCTCGCAGTCGGGACGCGAGCAGGCCGCAGCGCCTCCGCTGCGTGGGCGAGAGATTTAATTGAGTGGCTTCGGCGACGGCATCCTGGACATACAAGCGGGCCGTGCGCGCCGAGGCCCACCTGCCTCGGAGCAGCGTCTGCTCCATGGAGCCGTGGCTGCGGAAGTCGGCGGACGCGCCGCCCCGACGCCAGCTGTAGAGGGTGAACTTCGCATCTTGCAGCTCCAGCAGCTCACGCACGCGGCCAAAGGTGCCCATGAAACTGCTTGGCTCCATT